CCTCTTGCGCCGCCACCGCCGCCGCTCCCCCGCGGGCGGAAGTGAGCCTCGTTCCCGCCACCGCCCCGGAAGTGACGCACCAGCACTCGCGGGGGTTGGAGGTGCCTGGCGACGGCGCAGTGGGTCCGGGAGCTGGGCTTGGCTTCCAGGGGTGGAACTGGCATGTCGTGGGGCGGGGCCTGTGGGGCGGAGCCCGAGCTTGCGAGTTCATTCATTTGTTCTGTCGCTCATTCCAATGCTGGGTCTATGTTAAAGCAAGCATGGCTTTCGCCGTGGAAGCAAAATTTACAGGGACAGAAAAAAAAAGTTTACACGGATGCCAAAAACTTTAGGCAGCAAAATAAAAAATATTTTTAAATATTTTTTGTTTGTTTTTTTGAGACACTGTCGCCCATGGTAGAGTGCCACAGTACCATAGCTCACAGCAACCACAAACTTAGGCTCAAGCGTTCCTCCTGCCTCAGCCTCCCTCCGAGTAGCTGTGACTACAGGCGTCTGGCACAACGCCTAGCTATTTTTAGAGACTGGGTTTCACTCTTGTTCAAACTGATTTGGAACTTCTGGACTCAAGCAATCCTCCCACTTCAGCCTCCCAAAGTATTGGAATTACAGGTGTGAGCTACTGCGCCTGACCCATTTCATTTTTTTAATATTGCATATTATTTTTTAATATTGCATATTATTAATCATAAAGGCTGAGATTTTTGGCATCCCTTAAATTTTGTGGCAGGTTTCAGTACCTAGCTGTCCATACCCTGGTCCCTTCTGGTTCAGCTCATAAGTAGGAAGGGGTTCTTACACAATAAAGAGATCGGAGGCCTGGTGCAGTGGCCCACACCTGTAATCCTAACACTCTGGGATGCCAAGGAGGGCAGATTGCCTGAAGTCAGGAGTTTGAGACCAGCCTGAGCAAGAGAGGGTCCTCATCTCTACTTAAAATAGAAAAAATTAGCAGGGTATAGTGGTGCATGCCTGTAGTTCCACCTACTCAGGAGGCTGAAGCAGGAGGATCAGTTGAGCCAGGATGATGCCACTGCACTCCACCCAGGGCAACAGAGCAAGACTCTGTCTCAAATAACAAAACAGAAGGAGGAAGAAGAGGAGGAAGAGATCTGATCTCATAAGTATGAAGGGTGGGAAATGGGAGAAAATTACCAGAGAGTCTCTCAGAGGGGTGGTCAAGGAAGATCTTTCTGAGGAGGTGTCAGAGGCTGAGGCAGAAAAGAGGTGGGAGTGAGAAGTAGTTGGAGAACCTTGCCCTTCCAGACCTGCACCCTGTTTCAAAATGCTCTTCTATCCTACAGACAGTCTCAGTCCTTTTTTCTTCCCAGGGCCTCTGATCTTTACAGAGATGATCCTGAGGCTCCCAGGCTGATCCTCCCCTAAGCCCCATTTCATTCAAGTCAGAACAGAAAAGGATCATGGCTCAGAGCTGGAGACTGCACAGGCTTGTTTGTCTTCATTTTTCCTTGTTTTCTAGTTTCTCAGAGTGTTGTGAGATTTCTGACCCCCTGGAGCTGGCTCCACCCCAGCTGCCTGCTCAGCTGCCTGGGTCTCCCTGGGGCTGTCAAGGGCTGACTATGTTGCCTACCTGGAGGCTCCCAGCCTCAAATGAGGCTCTTTCTTTCTTTCTTTCTTTCTTTTTTTTTTTTTTTTTTTGAGACACAGCCTCTAGCTGTCCCCCTGTGTAGAATGCTGTCTCACAGCAACCTCCAACTCCTGGCTCAAGCGAGTCTCCTGTCTCAGCCTCCCAAGTAGCTGGGACCACAGGCGCCCTCCAAAATGCCCAGCTGTTTTTGGTTGAAGTCGGCACTGTTGTTTGGCAGGCCCGGGCTGGATTCAAACCTGCCACCTTAGGTATATGTGGCTGGTGCCTTAGCCACTTGAGCCACAGGTGCCGAGCCTAAGGTTCTTTCTTGATGTCCAGGTCAAAACAAAGCCAGGCTCTTTCTCTTATTCTTGTGACTTCTTTGGTCTGTCCCCAAACTCCTTACTCTACCCTAAGCTAAGAGGGACTAGGGCTGGAGTGTCCAAAAAAGCCCAGCTTTGCTCGGCACTGGCCACATGCACAGAGGCTGGTAGGTTCGAAACTGGCCCGAGCCTGCTGCACAACAATGACAACAAAAATAGCTGGGTGTTGTGGCAGGTGCCTGTAGTCCAAGCTACTTGGGAGGCTGAGGCAAGCGAATCGCTTAAGCCCAAGAGTTTGAGGTTGCTGTGAGCTGTGATGCCACTACACTATACCAAGGGCAACATAGTGAGACTTTGTCTCAAAAAAATTAAAATTAAAATCAAACAATAAATAAATAAAGCCCAGCTGCACCTATAACAATGTACCCCACTAGGGACATGGGGAGACACCATGAAGGGAGTAGAAGATGAGCAAGAAGACTCAGTTATCCTCCAACCATAGATGGCCCCTCAATCCCTTCACCAAGTTCCCCCCTAATTTCAATGGCACCTTGCAAAAGGTAAAGGCATCTCTGTCAACTCCCAAAAGTCTCCGAAGGACAGCCACCCTTCCTCCTCCCCGAAGAGCCCTTGTGGACTAGTCTCTGGCCCATTTTCCCCAGAAAGTAGATGGAGCTGTTGGTCCCTCATGCCTTGTCTGCTCTGCCCTCAGCCTCCTGAGTAGCTGGAACTATGGGCATATTTTTTTTGTAGAGACAGGATCTCAATCTGTTGCCTGGACTGATCTTAAACTCCTGGCCTCAAGCAGTCCTCCTGCCTTGTTTCCCAAATTGCTAGGATTAAAGGCATGATCCACAGCACCCAGCCTCACTTTCACTTTTTTTTTTTTTTTTGAGACAGAGTCTCACTATGTGCCCTCAGTAGAGTACTGTGGCGTCACAGCTCACAGCAACCTCCAACTTTTGGACTTAAGTGATTCTCTTGCCTTAGCCTCTCAAGTAGCTGGGACCACAGGTGCCTGCCACAACACCCAGCTATTTTTTTGTTGCAGTTGTCATTGTTGTTTAGGTGGCCCAGACCAGGTTCGAACCTGCCACCCTTGGTGTATATGGCTGGTGCCATAACCACTGTGCTATGGGCACCAAACCAACTTTCTTGTTATTTTTTTGAGGGGTTTCCTTTTTCATTGTCCATTTCTCTTCCTGCCTATGAAAGCTGATCATAGGAATTGGGTTATTCTTGTCAAATCCAACTAAAACTGTCAAAAAGTCAGAGAGAAAAACACTGAGGGTACGTAACATTGCGCTGAGAATGTAATTCTCTGCAAGCCTGACTGCTGAACCTATTCGCTGAAACCTGAAATGACTTTTTTTTTTTTTTTGTAGAGACAGAGTCTTACTTTCTCGCCCTCAGTCAAGTGCCGTGGCCTCACACTGCCACACAAGGTGTCACGCAAGGAGTAGGGCCCCAACCCCATGTACTGGAGGTGGTGGGTTGGTGGGTTCAAACCCAATTCTGGCCAGAAAAAAGAAACTGCCAAAAAATTAGAAAACCAGCTGATCATGGGGCCAGTGCCTGTGGCTCAGTGGGTGGGGCACCGGTCCCATATATATACCAAGGGTGGCAGGTTCAAACCCAGCCCCGGGCCAAACTGCAACGGAAAAATGGCCAGGTGTTGTGGCAGGCACCTGTGGTTCCAGCTACTCCGAAGGCTGAGGCAAGAGAATCTCCTAAGCCCAGGAGTTGGAGGTTGCTGTGAACTGTGTGACGCCGCAGCATTCTACCAAGGGCAACAAAGTGAGACTCTGTCACTCAAAAAAAAACCAAATCAAGCAAACAAGAAAAAAAAGCAGGCTCGGCTCCTATAGCTCAACCGGCTAAGGCGCCAGCCATGTACACCTAAGATGGCGGGTTCGAATCCCCAGCCCGGACCCGCCAAACAACAATGACGGCTGCAACCAAAAAATAGCCCGGGCGTTGTGGCAGGCGCCTGTGGTCCCAGCTACTTGGGAGGCGGAGGCAAGAGACTCGCTTGAGCCCAGGAGTTGGAGGTTGCTGTGAGCTGTAATGCCACGGCACTCTACCCAGGGGGACAGCTTGAGGCTCTGTCTCAAAAAAAAAAAAAAAAGAAAAAAAAGCAGCTGATCTGCGCAAGTGTCCTGAATTACAATTCTTGCTTCTCAAATAAAATTAATTAATTAATTTCAGAGATTTGTCTTTGCACTTTATTTGACTTCATTTGACTTACACACTCCTGCCAGACAATGAGCTCCCAGGACAGGGCTTTTTTCACCTTCATGTTCTGCAATATACCCCATGAATGGACAAACACATGAGATGAAGATGATTTTGCCCAAACCACAGACAGCTTTGGTGAGACCTCACGAGGCATTGAAGATCATACACTAGAGACCTCAGGCTCTCCGGACACTTTTTCCTTCAGTCTTGCTTGGGACACTCAACCTGTCAGAAAGTTAACTTGGCTGTAGAAATCAACATGCTTTTTTTTTGTTGTTCTTGTTGTTGTTGTTCGTTTTTTGAGACAGAGTCTCACTATGTTGCCCTTGGTAGAGTGCTATGGTGTCACAGCTCACAGCTCACAGCAACCTCCAACTCTTGGGCTCAGCCTCCCAAGTAGCTGGGACTATAGGCGCTCACCACAACACCTAGCTATTTTTTAGAGATGGGTCTTACTCTTTCTCAGGCTGGTCTCAAACCTGTGAGCTCAGGTTTTGTTGTTGTTGTTGTAGTTGTCATTGTTGTTTAGCAGGCCTGGACTGCAGGTGTCCACCACAATGCCCAGCTATTTTTGTTGTTGTTGTCATTGTTGTGTAGCAAGCTTGGGCCAGTTTTGAACTCCCCTACTTTGGTCTCCCAAGTGCTGGGATTATAGATGTGAGCCACCGAGCCCAGCCCAATTACTTTCACTTTTATTTGTTTCTATAGGGAATGCATTTCCACAGTGTGATTAAGTTTGTGTATCAAGGGTGGCACCTGTGG